ACCTTTATTTCAGTAGGTCCCATAAAATACCTGTACTTTATATTTCTGCTCCCTACATGGAGCACCTTACATTTGTCTATGTTGTCTATGCTTCCTATCCGTTAACCAGTTATCAATCCAGGTCACTACAGTTCCTAAAATACCTGTCGCTTTGAGTTTAAGTGAGAGCCTCTTGTGGGGGACAACATCAAAAGCCTTTTCATATATTTCATTATTTTGTCTGTGTTTCTTTTCAACAGCACTGCTGCAGTTTTCAGTCAGTGATAGTACTCTCACCAACCCCTAAGTCAGGGGTCACCAACTCCGGTCCTGGAGGGCTACTATCCAGTAAGTTTTCTGTCCTACCTGGCTTCTGATGAGCCACACCTGCTCCTGGTATTTACTTGAGAATTAGTGTGGCTCATCAGAAGCCAGGTAGGATAGAAAACTTACTGGATAGTAGCCCTCCAGGACCGGAATTGGTGACCCCTGACCTAAGTGATGGGAGTTGTAAATTTGTTGAACAGTAAAATTTACGCTAACCAGTATTCCGACTCTCACTCCCTTATGTTAGACTCCATGGCAATTTTAAATGAAAGAAAAAGTGATCTCCACAAATAGCCTAAAAATGCATTCAAGTCCACAAAGAAAACAATAGTGCCCTTTTATATTTTAGTAATACTGCATTACAATTTCAAAACAAAGTTATGTCTGCTTCTTATCAAACTTGCTCTAACAAACTAATGTCAGTTCCACTACACAGTGTCACATTCCACATGACCCGTACACTGGTCCTGCAGGGTAAGGTTTATCTCTTACCATTGTCCAGGTGGTTGGATTTGATGATTTTCTCTGAGTATTCTGATATGCTTGAACATTCAATCTGTGAATGGAGAAAAAGGGAAATAAGATTCTTCATGGGAGACACAATGCATTATTGCTCCCCTTGGTGATGTCACATGACCTTTGACTGTTGTGTTTGGTAAGAAACACACTGAGTCACTGAGAGGCAACTGGTTTAATTTTAGCCAAGTGCCTTTCGGGGTAAGCGCCCTACCCTATGTGTGAGTGTGTTGACCATAGAAATGAATGGATGGTCCCCACACAGATATTAGTACAAGTCTGTGTGTGTGTGTGTGGATTAGGTTTATATTACATTGTGAGGACCAAATGTCCTTTTTTCAGGTCCCCACAATAATCAATGAATGCAATCGAAAAGGTAAAAATGCCAAAAGTATTTTGTTTGGTTACTCATAGTTAAGCTTAGGGCTGGGTAGTGGTTAATTGTCATGATGTGATTATAGTGTTCCCCATATTAATGACTGTAGAGTCCCCACAAAGATACAATTACAAACGTGTGTGTGTGTGTGTGTGTGTGTGTGGTGTTCCATGGTAGGTGTCTGCTGTTCTCCTTGTACTGAAACTGAGGACTATTTCCTGTCTGCAATCTTCACCTCAAACTGACACTCATATCATGAATGAGCTGTAATCATACTGCTGCAGAGTTCAAACAAACTCCCGAATAATCTCCTCATGTACTAGTAAGTTTTTGCCTGTCTCCTGTAACAATGTACTAGTATCCATCACAAAGAGTGAACCAACATTTATCTGCAGATACCACATGAGGGCAGATTGGGCACCCTGGGGCTCTCAAGGAAGGGCAGTGGGCAGAGATTTGCAGTTGTCATTTTGTGTCAGTTATGATGGATTTTTGGGTAAAACCATATCTCAAGTTATTTGCTGTATTGACTACTCATCAATGAAATATTTAATATCATTCATTTATATTCTGTCTAACTATTTTTTTGTCAGCATTTATTAAACAACATCCAAGATGATGAGCTTTGTGTTCTACAAACAAAGTGGGGGTGGCTAGTGTTACCTAGCCAAGATAAACCCAGTATTCCTTATAAAGGACTACTCTGGAAAGTAAGTGCAGACAGTTACCTAAATTACTTTAAAACCTGATTTCTGGCCACATATCAATGTCCATGGTCCACTGGTCTTTTGGGAAGGATCTCTGTTGAGTCAAACTTCATTTAATTTATGCAGATAAGCATTTGGTTCACAGTTTCCCCGATTAAAATCAGTCATGTTGCAGCATGTTTTATCACTCAGTCCATCGGAGGGGCGTGTTCTGGTGGGAAACTGACATCAATGCATGCCCTCTATTGGAGCTCCTGATTAAAGCTGCCAGTGGCTCACTGCAGCACATAGAGAGGTTTTCACGATGAAGAAGGCCTATTGTTAAAATGCATCCATGAACAGTGAATACCACTCATTTACTATTATTTTTATTGGTTCAGTCTGAACCCAGCACCTTAATGTCATCATCTCCTGAGTTGAGCATGTTTTTTTTTTAATAAAAAGAGACTTCAGCTATTTTTTTCAGCTTACTCCAGTCAGGGTGAGCAACTGAGTTCAATTTTTTTTAATTAAACGGTAACAGGGTAGAAATTCAAAATAAATGTCACACTGAAATACTTTAAAGTTGTCCTTCCCATTTCCAGCCAAAGGGGATCTAATTAGCAGCTACCATGGAAACTGAAGAAGAATGAAGGAATTTTGAGAGAAGGGTTTTTCATGTAATTTCTTCTCCAAGTTAACGTAGGACTGTCTAATGTATTTGGTAGCGGGACAAAAAGGAAAGATTATATAAGTATGTGTTTATGATAATATCAGACCTTGTTCTGAGAAATTTGTTTCTATTTCACAGTGTACATTAGGACAGTGACCCCTGAGATAAGTTTTAATTGGAAATCTCGCCCTGTGACAGCAGTTGGATCCAAACTCTTACTGTATCAGCTAGCTGAAGAAACAGAGGAATGCACAGATGATAAGATAATTTAAAGCAGATAAAAGGAAAGAGTTTTCTTAAGAAAAGTAAGGGAAAAAAGTTGTAAACACATCTTCTATAACCAGCATTCTGTTCATCAGTCACATGACCTGCCTCTTACCCCGTATACATGCCTGGCTCCTGCTTTGGCCGCAAACATGGATAGGATCCCCGTCCCGCTGCCCACATCCAGAACGATTTTGTCCTTAAAGACGTGCTTGTTGTGGTACATGGAGTTTCTGTAGGTCAGCGTTCGCACCTCGTCCTTCAGCATCTCCTGTGGGAGGCAGTTCATCCTTATGGAGCCGAAAATGACCAGAGAAACATGTAGCAAGTCCGGGAGCAGTGGGGCACTGAATGCATTTTCAGCCTGCATCCGCTTTCCCAGGTAAGTGCCTATAGTTTGGTCAGGGACACGGTAATGGAAAATCTGAATAGAACCTGAGGGGGCGAGACAAATAGGGAGGCCTGAGAAATGAAAATGGTTAGCCTGAGGACGGAGCAAATGGCTGATGTACTTCCCTTTTGTACTTTTACACTTTCCTTTTCCTCCTTTGTGCAAAGAGCCCACATACTGACCTGCATTTTATAAATAAAGCAGAAAGAACTGGTCTTCCTGCTGTCCCTCACTGCCCCACCGCTTCAGCCTCTTGTCGACCGACGCGCCCAGATCACAGGTCCTCTCGGGGAGCACCAGTACCTCATGGATGCCAAAGTGGGCGTAGGAGTCGAAGTAGTAGTCTCGCGACGTCATCTCCTCGGGGTTGATGGACTTCGTCATCTTGCCCCGGCCCGGGCAGCTGGGCAAAGATGTGGCGTGGAGCGTGTGTGGTGGGTGGGTCAGGTGGTGGACAGGCAGCATTGGCTTGGACATTGTAGAAGGCTGAGAGGACTGGGATGACGGTGGGGCATGGCTGACCGGGGGCTGCTGAGAGATGGGGGCGGGGTTCACACCAAAGGGGGTAGAATCGCATGTGATGAACAGGGAGTGATATCACACGTAGAGAGACGCAGAGTCACATGCAATGGATAGAAAGAGAGAAACGACATCACATGTGGACAGAGTCACATGTGATGAACACAAAGGGAGATGTAGGAGCATAGAAAAATGGGGAGGGTTTAAAACCACAAAATTAAACAACATTTCCTGAGTCTCAAAAAAAGTTTTCAAATTCTTCTTCCAAAGAACCCAGCTAACTTGAATCTTTCCATTTTTATCCAGTCTTTTAGCCATAAAAAGGGAGGTGTAGGCATCTATGAAATGAGTATTTATAAAGTTGTGTTGGTCATCTGCAACACCCCCTGGGAGGAGGTGTTAATCACCTGCAATGTCTGCTGGGAGCTGGTGTTGATCATGTGCAACACTTTCTTTGCTTAGGTGTTGATCACCCACAGTGTCTGCTGGGAGAAGGTGCCCCAACCCCCCCGCATCTGCTGCATACACACTGCCTTCAGAGTACTACAGATATGGCGCACACCTCTGGGAGCTGCAGTTTCACTAACACTTCGCAAACACCTCATTATTCATTTAAGCTATTTATAATGGACACCATGATACAGTATCACTATCATAAGCATGCCTAGTTCCAACACAACTGAGCCCAAGAGACCTGATGGCCAGACCATAATGCTCACATTCAGAAATTCTGAATAAGCACAAAGAAATAAATACCTATGAGAGAAAATAACAAGCATCTCAGTAGCATGGTTACATGAGTCCAAAGAGCAAATAGGGCTTTATAATATACAGGGGTGGGATAAACTCTTGCATCTGGCTTAGAAACTGATAATATTAAATATACCTTTTCAGCCTGATGTCAAAAGCGATCATTTATAGTATTTATTTGGTAAGATCTGTGTGTCTAAAGTCAGGGACATACAAGAGACCACATTTTTACATCAGGTCATGTCAGTTTGGGAAGCATGCGCTGATGCAGCGCGTTGCCGCACCCACCACACAGCGAAACTGCTCAGGATCCCGGCTGGCAATCCCCCAGTCCAGTCCCACTCTCCGGAAATGGCCATCCATCTGCTACAGCCTTGGCCTGATCCAGCAACTTGGGTCATCAGCAATGAGGATCCTGCGAGCAGGATCACCCTCAGGGAAATGTGCCACATGGCCAAAACTGACGCTCCCTCACAATGCAGGTAATGTGCCTCATTCGGAACTCCTCTAGCAACCGCTCATTCGACACAAAGTTAAACCAGTGGTACCCAAGGATTCTCCGAAGAGACACAGTACTGAAGGAGTCCAGTCTTTGTCTCAGCTCACTGGATAGCATCCATGTCTCAAAGCCATACAGCAAGACAGGGAGCGCCAGGACTCTAATGACTTGGACCTTTGTCCTCTTGCAAAGATATCGGGAGTGCCACACACCCCTTTCCAGCGACCTCTTGACCCCCTATGCTTTTCCAATCCATCTGCTGACTTCATTGGAAGATTTACCAGAGACATGAATGTCGCTGCCGAGGTAGGTAAATTTTTCGACAAGGTTGACATTCTCCCCGCACAGATATATTACTGATGGATGTGCCTAAGAATTCATTAAATGCCTGGATCTTGGTCTTTATCCAGGACATCTACAAAACTAAATATTTTTCCCCCCAGAGGGCTGAGACAGATTGTGTTCAGCGAGGACTACACTATGAAAAGCGGGGGATTGCCTTTACATGTGTGGGGACGTGTGGGACATTGCAGAAGACCTGAATGTCAACCACGAGCATAGAGCTAAGATGAGATAAGATAAAGCTACCCATGAAGCAACCATTGTGAGCATCACAGCTGGGAAATAAAACCAGCAGTGAGAAGTACTATCCTGTTATATTTGTCTTTATATAGCATCCTTCCTGAACAAGGTCAGTGAATGAGATTTATGCCAGCAGGGGATATATAACAATTGGATATGCCCCCCTGTCCTATTACAGTGTCAAACACCTGAGCTCCATGATGTGTGGGTCATGTCAGGTGGCAGCTTCAGATATGACTGTCTTTTTTATTATTGCTGCTGTTTCTAAGGAATTTCCCCATTGTGGGATTAATAAAGTCAATCTAATGACAGTGACATAAGGTCACACCACTGCAGTGTCAATATATCATTCTGCCAATATAGCAATCCCAAAACAGCATTGCACCCTCCTGGAGACATTTCAAAAGTTGATTTGTGCAGGCAAGGCTAAGAATGTCACACTAGCCTGACTTTCCCAGTTGGGAGTTTGGGGAGCCTGGTAAGAGAGGTACTCGTTGGCCTAAGCACCAAAGGGAGGTTAGTGACCCCACACACACAAACACACAGATAACAAGGGAGGCCAGCAGTCCAACTTTTATGGCCCAAAGATTTAGGGACCTACGGACAGCAGAGTGGACCTCAAGGATAGGGGTCCCTCACTTGGCACGCAACCCCCTCCCAATACATTCCACCTTACATACCACTCACCCAACACCCTAAAGAAAGTTCCTTTTAAGTTCAGCTTTTGTATACCCTGTATGTTGATTTACTCATGACTACTAGTCTCAATATACAGATGTTTGTGTGTGTCCTTAGACAATCTTAGTGTTTTGTGTGCCACCCTTATAACCATGTTCAAGGAATATCACCTATTTTACCCCTCACACTAAAAACACTTATATAAATTTGAATAAATAAATATGTATAGCTACCACTGCATATATGTTCTCATGGTTATACCAGAAGAATCTTGAAAAGTAAATAGTGTAACCATGTATCTTAGCATGTCCTAACTTTCAGAGGTTCTTCTTTCTTTGTTTAACAACCCCCCCCCCTTTTTTCACATTCCTCTGTGGCCCTTATCTAATCTTTGTGGCCCGTTAGCAAGCTCTTTGTGCTCTACCATGCTGCATTAAAAGAACTGAATTAAGGTGTACATTATCCATTCTGGAGAGTAGACCAATTGGGATAAGCCACACCAACCAAAATATGTTGTTTCCAGATGTGCAACTTAAATTGGTATTACTGTACCACAAACTAACGGCCACACCTATCTAAGATGTGCTGTTTGAATGTGAATATGTCATGTAATGTCTGTACAAAGTGTAACATCTGTTGAGATGCAACCCAAAACGCCTATGCCGTATACTGATGTGAGTCAGTAACATACATGATATAAGTAATTATTGATTAATTCATACAGATGGTGTGAGGTGTGAACCGCTAGGCTGGTATGGCATGTTTGGTATCAAACTGATGGAAAAGTACTCCTGATTCTGGTCAGTGGTTACCATGAAAGTGTATGTATCAAAAGTTACACCAGCTTAATGAAAATCATCAGTAAAGGGGAATCAGTCTGGTCATAAATCCCAAAAAGAGGGAAAGACTTCCCCTCTGAAAGCCCGCCAAATGGATGGTCAGCCATTGGTTCAGGTTTCGGATTCCTGGTCATCCCTATTCAT